TAGAAATATTCCTCAGAGAAAGTGGCATAGTGTATTTGCAAAAACTCTAGTGAAGTAAAAAATTACTACTTTGAATATTTCCTACATATTTAAGAACTGATCAAGTAATTGTATCAAAAGTAGATGAAATTTTTAGAAAACATATGTGCAAAATTCTAATATTTTGAATTGTGGAGAAACTTTATCAGAGACTACAGTCTGTATTTCCTGACATTATTTACCACAGGACAAATACTTCTTTTTAATTTAAATTCCATCAAAACTTCGAAGTGAGTTGCATGCCTTACATAATTTTTAAGGGAAGTCAAAAGCAACAGTAATACTGATATTTGAGAAACATGTTACCTTCTCCATGTTAAAAAGAATCTCATGATTGTTTACTTAAAAAAAAAAAAATTAACTGCTTCCACTTTCAATTCCAGCAAGAATTTGAAAATAGGGTTGCAGTGCTGCAGACAGCATGTTCTTTGACACCCTTTTTAACAAGAAGTCTCAAACCTAACTTTGGCCAAGTTTACATACTTGGACCCCATTTACTCAGACGACACTAAGAGCCTGGCAGCTTCATTCTGCCAAAGTTTAAATAATGTTCACTCAGTATGTTCTATGTCTAAGCTCCAGGCTGTCCCCTCTCATCCTTATCAACCTGACAGCTCTGGCCAGAGGTCCCTAGGAACAAGAAGTGAGCAGATACTTCTGCGTCTATCTCGGTGTCTTCCATATTGCATCAGGTAGAAAGAAAGAGAAGGAATCAACTTTCATGAGACAAATCAGAATGAACTAAAAGAGGGAATGCACACAAAGTGCAGAATACTGCTCCTAGAAATAATGGCAAACTGGTATGAAGATCAGAGTTGGTAACCTAGTGGAACAAACGCTATGAGAAGTATTACTAGGTTAAGGAGAGTGATGCACAGTAAGAGAGAGAGGACAGAACTAGAAAGGATAACAAATAAGGGAGTGTGAATGGTCCTTCTACATTTTTATGAAGCCAAGCTCCATATGCTTGGTACTCCAATTTCCACTCCTCTGTGAACAGGGAAACAGCTTAGAAACTCACTAGTAAAACATATCTCACATACTTGTCAACTGACTGACCTATGGCAGGAATAACCATCTATATCATGGCTATAAAGTACTTTTGCTCAAAAGCAGCAATGCCCATATATTATAAATCTAAAGAGTTTGAAGCAGATAAATATAGAATTGATAGCATGCAAAGAATTTAGTTTTTCTTGGTTTTCTCCATTTTGTTATTCTAACAATCCAGATTGCTGCATCTAACTGCAAAGCTAAAACGCTACAATTATAAACCTTCATTATACCAAATTTAGTAGAGGACAAAGTTACTGTTGTATGTGCAAACACCGTTCAGCTCATGGTGTGTTTGTATTACCCCATCTCATTCCCCATTTTTCCCCAGGGTATTTTCCTATGCAGTGCATGACTTGAGAAGTGCAGTTGTGATGCATCAGTTCTGTGTAATAAAGAAGCTGCCATCTCTAAGAGTCCTACTTCATTTGTTACAGCAACTGGAGCCTATGTACAGAAATAGTTAAGGCACAAAAGAGAGGAGAACAGTATCAAGATTACTATGACAAAAAGTTAGAGAATTAAGACTTTGTAAATGCTGCAGGGATTGTGTGATGCTGAGGAAGTCATATAAGTAAATTTATAAAAGGGAGACCACTCCTTTTGTCTTTGTTCTTCAGGTATTCCTTATGACTCACTCAGCTCCATAATGCTGTGTATTCTGGAAAAAGACCCATCCAAACACATCCTAAACAGTGATTGTATCAGACAACTAGAGCACACTGAGAAAGATGAATACCTAAATAAGAAGGTTCTTCACTTTTCTCCAACTCTCAAACATTAAAATGGAAATCGAATACCAATTCACTGGGAGTGAGGAAATAAATTCCTTTTTGCGAATCACTCTGGGGTAATAAGAAATAGCAGAGAAAAGTCAATGAGGAAATTAACAATTCTATCATCATGGCAGGGTTTGAGTAATACAAGAAAGGCAGAATATATGCCATGATTCCCAGGTCAAACGAGGACAAAATATTGCACATTTAGCCACTACCAGCTGGTTGCCTTTTCCCTCTCTTTAACAGCTTAAACATAAGGCATTCAGCCTAAAATATTAAGGGCATCCACAGTGAACCAGAAAAAAAGTTAAGAAAACTCCACTGGAGATAACTCCTCTTCCATGAATACAGAGGGAAGCTAGACAGTTAGATCCCACTAACTTTTATACTGGAGGCCGGGGGCCCCCCCCACTGTCATCTCTGCAGAGCACTGACTGTGATCGAAGGCCCAAAGACAGCACTGCAAATCACTAAGTACTGTAATTCATGAGAAATCATAAGAAGTCACAAAAATGCACTTCAAATATTAACAAAAACGTAATTAAAACTGGATAATCTTTCAGTTCTGTTACTAAGACAATTAAAATTTTCATTCTCTGCAACAAATACGGAGCAAATAAAATTATTCTCTACCCAGAGTAATCCCAACAGAATCCTCTCCATTAAGCTGTTATTAGCTTGGAACCATTGGACCTTGCAAACACCTGCGTAACTAACTATGAAGAGAAGTTATTCATTAGCAGCTGAGAGTGTAGCAGGGAGCAGTCATTTTTAAAATGGGTTTGCTATCAATGTCAACTCTTGGAAGTCTCTCAAAAGCGTATCTGGGACAGGGAAATGTGAAACACAGCCCTTAACAGCATGTATTATCTGTCCTCATTGGTCAGCACAGCTCTGACAGGCCATGGCCCCTGCTACCCTCAGCTGCTTTTCCTAAGCTAAGAGAAGGTGATAAGGCCTGAAGATAAAAGCAAGAAGAAAGTGAAGGAGGAACTGCAGGCAGTGTAATTAGAACTCTAGAGTTGGTTTCTTTTTGTAACTGGAAAAACTGTGTTGCACATACTACTCTGGTAGTAGTAGTAGTAGGTGAAAGAGAATAAGAGGTCACCCACCTCCTAGTTCACTCCCAGCATTTGGCACCGGGTCGCTATGTCAAATTTCTCATCTGATCTGAGCAAGTAAAAAGCTTCAAAAGAAACTGTTAGGTGCCCTGTTGTAGTAAAAGCTCTACCACTCAGAAAAACACAATTTAGCAACTCTAGATTATTCCAACTCAGAAAGTAATTAAATAGCTTATGCATCTGAAGAGATATAGATTGTGAACAGCTGGAGGTCAGTTAGGACTGGAAACCACTTAAAACACATCTGCTGTGATGAAAAAATAAGTCTATGTGGGGAGGAAATTAATGTACCCTATCTTTAAATACTGCAACATCTCTTGGATAATGATGAAGTACCAATTGATAATGATTTTAGAACGATCTCCTCATTCTAAAATTCATTGTTGCCAGATCAGGAGAATGGTGAGGTTCCTTACATGTGCTGCATCAACAGGTTTCCTTAATAAGTTTATATTAAAGACAAATACTGGAGCCCATACACTATTATATTTGCATAAAAGAGAGGGCATATATAACTTGCCTGGCAGCAAACTTGTTTGGTCTTTTAACCTGTACTTCCCACATCTCAAAAAAATCCATTATTAACCTACCACAGATATGCAACTTCTGAATTCTTTTATTTTAACCAAGCTCCTTTCTACTTTCTCCTTTTTCACACATATATTATAAAATTGTGTCTTGATTTTAATAGCAATAAACACATTTCTGCCTCCAGTGCATTTCAGAAGCGAGTGTATCTGTGGAACACTCACCCTGTTGGATTCAGAGAGAATTTAAAATTCAGCTTAAGACTCTCCCACCTGAAGTCAAATCAATGAACTTCCAAGACAAACAACACATCCCAGGTACTGATTAGCAACACAAGCTTCAAAATCTAAATAGTTTCATTCAACTCTTTACATAAACATGACCTTCAGAAAGCTTTATGCTAACCCAGAATAGGTTAGCTGATTTCTCTCTCAATTGTAAATATTTATAATATACATAACTGAAGGCTGTTTCTGAATCTTAACTAGTTCTTTATTAATAATATCAGTGGTACAAATCTCAATTACTGGATAAATCTTACCCCTTTTTAGATTTATTGCCATGGGTGTTTTACCTTGTTCTCCTGCTACAGCATATCAAAACATACATGCCTAGTACTACTGATCTTCATCCCTTTCATCATCCTTTTGTTAGGAAATCATCCATTTCCTAGATCTCTCAAGAGTGTTTAAATATGCAAATAGTCTTTTTTAACTGGACTCTTTCAGGACATTTACTCATTTCTGCTATAATTATTTTAAACAAAAGATAAAACACATAATTATGTATGGTTATCTTGTAAATTAATATGTAACATGGTAAAATCATGTCTTTATTCTCCACCTCTTGAAGCACAGCATTACAGGACTTCCATTCAGTCCCCGCAGAGCGGTAAAAAAAGCAGCAAGTGTAAAGAAAGAATCCAGCAGCAGCAGTACCAAAGCTATAAACACTGTTTCCCTCATGGACTTTGATCCAGATAAATGCAGGGTACGGCAGGAAAACATCAAAGACGCATCTAGGTCATACTGCACACCAAGAACCCCACACAGATTACATTTACTTGAGTAACTCCCCAGCTGATATAAACTGCTCCACAGCAGAAGCACTAAAGTAATCCCTCAATTCTACTGGTTTGAAGAGGAGTAAATTGTGCACAGTTTTGTCAGTTTAATTCTGTTCATCTATCAGTACTTACCATGTGATTTTTGTCAACCAGTTTAACAAATGTTAAAAAAAAAAAGAAAAATGCTGTTCTGGACTTGTCATAACCACACCTAACACACTTTTAAAGAGCTTGATCTGGTTTAAAAAATTTGATAGTTCATTTCCAGTTTTGGCCCATTCCATAACCACAGCTGTTTTACCAGTCAATTGCTTTATCCAATGCCTTCATGTGTTAATTTCAGTACATGAAGAATTAAATTACATTAAAAAAATCAAGCATATAACTCCCCCACCCCACCCCCTCAGTACATACCTTTATTCTATGAAATCGAACAACATCTCCAACTTTGTAAATTTTTGGTAGGGCATCTAGATTTCCGTTAAAAAGAGTGCATGTTAACTTCACATTGCATGGGTCCACAAGTGTTACAAGTGAGCAATAATCTGTGAAATATAAGAGTGTTTGAATGAGTAATAGGCACTATGGAGTTATTAATACACAGATATTAAACTTGGGATGAACAACCATACGGCCAACTTTTTTCTGCTATGATCTGGGCAACCCTTCCAAAGTCTGTTTAGTTGCAGTAGCATAATAACCCACATATGGCCCATCATGTCAATAATTAGCCCAAATTACTAAAAATTAAATAGGTGATTAAGCATAGACCTGTCCGCCAGGAACACACAAAACATTTCTTGTCTGCAACAGGCATGCTATTTCAATTACTTCCTCTCCACAATGAGGAGGATTTGTAGTGTTGTACAATCCTTTTCTAAGATTTATTTTCATACTGAATTTTGAAGAAGTAATGAGTGCTGCAAGTTCTAAAAGCAAATGAGAGCATAAATTAACTTCAACAAAATATGCAAGATATGTGCTTCAAGGATACAGTCACACAGTGGTAGTTACAAACTGCAGTAAAATCCAAAAGGTGCCCTTTTGAAGTTAAACTTCAGTAATAGAATTTCACTTCTATTAATGACCTAAAAAGTAAACTCAAAACAAGACAAATATGCCAGAGCAAAACAGCCCCAAATAGAGCAGTATTTCCAGAGGACATAAACGAAACCTGTATTTCCCATTTCAGCACGTGTGCTCCAATACCTTACAAATGTAAAATGGAGTGAGAGTGCACTTGCTCTTCCACAGCTTAGTAGCTGGTTAACCTGCCTGAGAACTTTCCAAATACCCAGTATCATGGCTGTATGCTTAGAACCTCAAACATCCACAGATCTTGTCCTACTTGCTTTTAATCAAGAAGACAAGAGTGCTTTTGTTCTGCATACTTATTATATGCTGCCACTTACTGAAACTTAGAGTTCAGGGCTAAACTGCAACTTCTTCAACAGTTCAGTAGAGCAATGGCATCATAGCCTATAATTTTTACCTTGATGACAATCTTGATACATTTACATGCACAAAATTTTGCCTTTTTAGAAAGAGTTAGCATGATCCTCAAGCTAAAACCAGAAAGTTTAGGAATTAACAGTATTAAATGTTTTACAATTTAAAATTTCTAGAGTGTGAACTCTCCATTGGTTTTCCATTTGAGCACACTATTCTTCAATTTCAGAACGTGAAAGCACAAAACCAGAATTAGGAAGATTGACAAAAAATTTAAAACAAATAAATTTGTACTTTTTGGCACTGGTATAACACTGATTTATTCTTTCTCTTAGCGTTTTTCTGTACTTTAAAAGAGTGGATATACCGCAACTGCAGCACACACAGTGCTTTCAGACTGGATTCATGATTAAAATGATTCTGCAACTACTCATTCTGACTAAAATGGTATCAATCACTAGGTCTGAATTACCCAAAATGCTTGGGCAATTTTCCAGTTTTTTAATGTCATCTTCTTCAACTCACATTTTCATTTACATAGTCCTATTTTAAGAATTTAAGTTTTCATTGTAAATGTTAGTTTGTTCATATTGCTGACCTGCACAGAAAGTGCAGGCACACCACCTAAAAGCAGGAACATCTCCTCTATGCACAGAATCCATTTACGCCTGCTATAATCTTATTACTGTGGATGCCCATTTCAACTAAAAATGATCATAATTCAGCAGGCATAAAGTAAATAGTAAAGAAGCAAAATTAATAAACAATTACTAAACCTGTTTATGAATTCCGTTGCTGATATTCGAACAAAGCACAGAACCTGACCATATAAAACTGAAATTTGAACAACTGACCAGAAACTTAGTTTGACAGCGTGAACTTTCTCAACTTCTATAATGGTGATATTAAACAGTGGCAGACTATAAGTGAAGTTCAAGGCTGAAGCGACTGTGGCCTGTGGGTAAGCAAGCCCAGGCCCAAGCTAGTATTCCCACAGGACTAAGGCCAATAGAGGAACCCACACTGGTGCAGAGGACAACACTAAGGAAGATATGTGGAGGGCAAGGAGGGAAAAAAAAAAAAAAAGCAGCAGGAAGCAGTTGCCCTCCCAGAGACAGTGTAACCTGCAGCACTAACAAGGGGACTGGAGACGAACAGGAGAGAGCTGTCTGCAGTGAAGCTGAGTCTGGGAAAAGTGGAGGAAAGGTGTTTTCTCTAAACTTTTAAATGTTTCTCTTATTTGTTTCTCAAAATTTGGATAAGTTATTAGATGTTAACTGGCAATGAATTATATTCTCCAAGTCAAATTTGTTTTGCCCATGACCGACACCTTTTCGCTCTCAAAAACAGAATCCCAAACAAAAAAAGCAAAAAATCCAAACATATCAAAAACCAACTTCCCTTAGCTATGATTCTACAAGGCAGTTTGTGATGATGATATTGAACCAGTTTACGTATCTGGGAACTGAACAACGGTGTCATGGCACTACAAAAAATCTCCATCGTGCATTTCATTACGACACAGACAGATAAATGAACTGTTGCTAGACAGCTCTGAAACAGAATACTATCAGCATACAAAAACTGACAGGTTTCCTTCAAACTACAGGAAGGCAGTCAAAAGAAGAAAACTGTCAAAAATAAACTCGGTGAACAGATTCAACAAAGATGAAGACAGGTATATTAGACTGGACTAAAATACATGCTTATGTGTTTTACACCCTTAAATTTTACTAGAATTTAAACTTCAAAGTTCAAATTTTCTAATGATTTGAGCAACTGAAGTGCTGAAAGAAGAAATCCAGCGAAGACTTACTAAGAAAGCTACTTATCCTACAGATATAAACCCTGTAATATTTCCACAAAATCAATACTCTTCTTCCTCCCTAAGATTTTTACACAGACTCAATGATAAATTCTCATCTGTTGCACTCAGACGTTGCTAAGCATCATTGTTTTGCACACTTCCACCGAAGGTCAAGTGTCATACAGCACCTATTCTGACATTCTATGCTAGGAAAAAGAGATATCAATAAAGTCTAGTCAGTGGCTGACACAAAACTGCAAGTATTTACTACCGTAATCAAAAAAGGGATTGTTTTATTTCTTTGGTTATGAATTCTAGAGGTTAACTTAACAGGTCAGCTGCTAAGACATATGAGCAAAATGAGCAATTAAGAAGAGAAAACCATATGGTTCACAGATATACAACCCTTTGAGGATGCAGTATAACACGTTACAATGCACTGGTATAATCCAGCATAAGAATCACGAGTGAAATAACAAAACCATTCCACATTAAAACTGTGGTTACTGTTTGACCCTGTGATGATATAACTTAGCTTCATACATGTGCAGCTGCCTATTTAAAGTGGGAAAAAAGCTAATACACTCCCTCTATTTCCTATGTGCAATTAACATACTCAAAAGACTAGTAATCGTCCTATTCAAAGTAGTATAAAATAGTATACTTGTTTTATATAGTCAGGTAACACCTTCTACATAATACAGGTTCTCTGTCTCTGTGATTTCAGACTTACATTTTTAACTATGATCTTGAAACATCACTTCTACAGTAAACCTAATTAAAAAAAGAGCTCTTTAAGACCAAAGCATAAAACCTGATTTTCTTTTAAAGAAATCCTCATCCAGCAAGTCTTTTTTGAAGGTTAAAAATAAAGTCACCTGTCTTTCCTTCTCCAGCTGAAACGTGAAAATTGCCTTCTGCTTCCCATAGCAGCGTTACAATTCAGTGATTGAATTCACTTTTCTGTACAAATAATGATAGTCAAACTCTAAACAGAACGGTTCAATTTAAAATAATGTCCCAGTGCTATAAGAATGACATAATAAATGCCATAGCCCAAACTTTTGATTTTTCACAATACATTTTCCAATGAAGCAGAATCCCAGTTATCAAGATAAAAAAAAAGAAAAATAAAAAAATTAAAAGTTAATAAACATTTACATATTAGGGACAATTTTTCTTTACTAGATAAATTTACTCCACTGATTAACTTCTCTTAAAGAAGGGAAATGGTACCACTGGTAGTTTTTAGTTAGAATAATCTGGCTTAAAACTATGACACAATGGATGCACATTTCAGAAAATTTATGTGCTATAAAAGAAAGATATTATTTCATACTAGATTGACTCCGCAAAAGCACTGGGTTTACGTTGACACTACACAGAACTCCAATTTTTTGCAAGTTTTTTTTTTTTTTAAATATTCATAATTATTATGAAGAGTTACTCCCACTCAGGTTTAACACCATGTGAGGGACTACCAACAATGGACAGCTGTCTGTAAGTGTGCTTGTAAGACACCAGAATTGGTATTTGTGAAAATAACAAGGAGACAAAGTGATGTCTAGTTTAAATGGAAGTACAAGAGTAAAGTATCTGTCGTCTTAAATCCTTTCAGACTAAGCTTTACTGTCCCACAGAAATACAATTACTTTAACTTGTTACTTAGTTTTTTATTGTATTTCATTGAAAAACCCACAACTACTTGGTGAAGCAGCTTTTTAGAAAAGAAATTTATGCAACAAAATAAATCCATTATTATTGCTAGTACTATCTTAAAATCAATAAAATTCCAAATCAAGATCAGTAGAAGGTGACATAAAGTACATGGAAAACAGATCTCCAGACTTCTAGGTTCTGACTTTACACAGTTTGAAATATAAATGTTTTGCAGCCCTGTAACAATCGTTGAAAAGCTCAAGTTTCCTTCACTGTGATAATGGTTTATGTTCATTCTTCAGGGTATAGCCTTCTTTTTATAAATGTCATAGCATTTCCACTCTTTTATGGACTGTTCTATCAGTCATTAGCATGTTCAGAAACTCAGCATCTCCCCAGAATGTACATATATATAAAAAAATCCAAATACAAACCTAAACCCCACAGCTTCATTTCCCAATTTATTTTTCAGTCATTGTAAGAAAACCAGAATTGCTACTAAAGCTTTCAAGATTACTAGCTACTATGTTGTAGGAAGGCATTTAGTACTTACTAATTAAGCATTTATTTTAGTTTTACTGAGGACTTGAGCTCCTAACAAATATGTTTGTATAAATTTTTAAGGTAGAA